GCCAGGGGTGGTAGAACACATCTGTAATCCCAGGACTCTAGGAGGCAGAGGCAGGAGGATCATGAGTTTGAGCTCAGCCTGGGCAACTTAGTGAGACTGTATTTCAAAATAAAATATTTTTTAAAGTGGGGATGGGGCTGAGGATGTAGCTCAGTGTGAAGACCTGGGTTCAATCTCCGGTACCCCCAAAAAAAGGCAAAAGAAAGAAAGAAAGAAAGGAAAACAGCTGCTGAATTAGTTTGCAGACACCGTACAAAACACATGCGTTACACAAATACACATTGCAACTCAATGTCCAGGGGATAAAAAAAAGGGAGACATTCTAAGAAGAGATGTGTTGGCCCCTTATAGTACAAAGCTCAGTTTGTCAGGTCTTACCAAGGATCAGCCTTCAAAACTGAACAATAGTAGCAACTGTACTGGGTCGCTCCAGCTCTTAGACACTCAGATTTGGAAAACAGAGTTCAAATCATTTTCTGCAGTCCAGAGAAGATTGTCATGACACTTCAAAGAACATAACACAAAAGATTGCTGGTGTGCAGGTGGAAACCGCCCTGTGTGCTGGGTGTGGTGGAGCATGCCTGAAATCCCGTCCTGAAATCCCAGGAGGCTGAGGCAGGATTGCAGGTGTAAGGCCAGCCTCAGCAACTTAGTGAGACCATCTCATGATAAAAAAGGGAGGGGGGACTGGGGGTGTAGCTCAGTACTGGAGTGATTGCTTAGCATGAGGGAGCCCTGAGTTCAATTCACAATACAGGAAAAACAAATTCTAGCCTTTGCTTATTTACCTACATATTTGGCAGGCAAATGTAGATATTGTCAAATGCCGTTGGCAATGATCTTCTTACTAAAGAAGATGAAAAGATCTTATTTGCCAACTGTCCTGGATACTTTCAAACAAAACATTGCTAAAAGGAATGTGATTTATTTAACTGTGAGACTGAGGCTTTCAACGTCTATTTTGATCACTTTTTCCATTTTCTCAAAATGTGCAGAGGCGTTTAATGAGGTTCATCACATGAAATTCATTTGACACTTGTTCCGCTCTCATCAAGCCCTTGCTACATTGGTTCCTGCTGTCAGTCAAATGTGATTCCACCCAGCCAAACATCCTCTCAACAAGAACACTGAACACGGGATGCTTGGGATTTCTGGTGAGAAAAGGATCTGGGGATGGTGGCGCACGCCCATAATCTGAGAATTAGGGAGGCTGATGCATCAAGATTTTCCCTTTTAAAAATTTATTTAACTATCTGCTTTTGCAATACTGGAGATTAAACCCAGGTGTACTCTACAACTGAGCTGTATCTCCAGCCTTTTAAAACGCTGAGACACGCTCTTGCTAAGTCACTCATTTGCCCAGGTTGGGCTCAAACTTGTGATCCTCCTGCGTCCGCTTCTCAAGTAGCTGGGACTGCAGGTGTGCACCACCACTCCCAAAAAATAGCACTTTTTGAAAGCAACACTTTGTGGTAGAAGCCAACTACTTTCTTTTAAGCGTGTAATTTTCTTAAAGAAATTGACTTCTACTTTAATACTTCTGTCTGAAATTGTTTGATGGCGTTAGTACCTAGTTCATCACCCATAAAGTGCTGGTTGAAATATAATGATTGTGTCTTCCAACGAAGTCAGTATGTTCAATAGCAACCACAAAATGCTCCATCACAGCGTGCAGGGTACCAGTGGTGGAATGGAGACGCGCAGCGACGTTCGCTGCTTTCTGCTCACACCCTACTCCGGTGACTGACACAGTCTTCCTGAATCCTGAGTGTCTTTAGTTCACGCAGCCACTTCGGCCTCTGCCCACATCCCCAGCACTGCCATCTGTCCCTGCACTGTTCCCAGTAACCCCCCATCCACCCTTCATGCCCACCACTTTTAGCTGGCCCGCTTGGCTGGGTGTAGCCACTTTGTGAAGTGAGTTAGGAATTTTGAAAGATTTCTTGTACTTTTAACATCTCTGCCAGTGGTGGTGGTTGTGGAAGAGAGAGGTGGGTGGCAGCTGTGCCAAGCAGGAAAGGTGGTTAGGACGATGGTGGCTGCCACGGAGGCAGCCATGGCAGGCTGAGGCGATGGCGGCTGTGGCATGGGTGGTGGCCAGGAGAGTGGCTCCCACTGAAGTGAGGCCAGCAGGTGACAGGAAGGCAGGCAGCGGCTCTTGCAGGTAAACTTTTCTCCTCCAGAGCCCACTCTGCCTGTACATGTACAGCAAGCAGAAAGTAGCAAGGAATAAAAGCCCGGTCAAGTAGCCCTCGACCCAATGACTGATGGTGATGAATGCCTAAGTACCCTCGCCCCATCCTACGTTCTCCAATTTCCCAGAGCTCCCTAGAGAACTGAGCTGTTGCCCACAGTGGTAATCTGCTTGAGGATCCGCTTTTTCTTTTTTTTTTTTTTGTACCAGGAATCGAACTCAGGTCCTTGGGCTTGCCAGGCAGGCACTTGTGCCACTGAGCTATATCCCCAGCCCAAGGATCCACTCTTTATATGCTGCTTTCTTTCCCCATCTCACTTCCCACTGTCCTACCCATGCTTTCTGGGATCGTCTCCCAATTCCTTGTCTCAGGTTGCCAAGCAGAGACGATGCATTATGAGCTCAGGGTTATGATTCAAGCGCATATGGCACATGGACAGGAACTGAGCGTGTGCCAAGCCATAAAGCCTCAACAACCTTCAGAAGATTGAAATCACATAAAATATGTTCCCAAACCAATTGCAATTAGGCATGATAACTAGAAAAATGCCCCATATGTTTAGCAATTAAGAAATATAATTCTAAATTTCTAAATAACCTGAGATTAATGAAGTCAAAATAGAAAGCCATGCTTTGAGAAAAATTTTAGTGCACATATTAGAAAAAGGCTTTAAACTACTGAGCTAAATATTAATTTCAAAAAGGCAGAAAGTAGAATACTTAAAAAATGAGACAATTAATTAAATTCAAATGCACAAGGTAGCATCAACAAAGCCAAAACTTAATTCTGTGAAAATAATAATCAACCTATACTGGTTGATCAAGAACAAAAAAGGAAGAAGGTACAAATGACCAATGTCAGAAACAGTAAAGGGGCTATTACTACAGACTCAATAGATGTTAGGATAATGACAATATTATGAACAAAATTCATGGCAATTTGAAAATGTAAGAAATTCCTAGAAAAACACAACTCATCAAAACAGAAGACGGAGAAATGATGAAGTTTTGTGTTAAATATGGGCATAAATTCCTTGCATCCAAATGTTAGCAAGAAGTGGGGTCTCCATCAGTGTGGGGGGCCTCATGGCTGCTTTGACCAATAGAATGTTGTAAAAGTGGTATCTTTGAAGATTCCAGTATTGCTGTCTTGATCCTGAGACCTATAAGGAGGCTGGTCTAGCTTACTGGAAAATGTCATATAGGAGATACTCTAAATTTTAAATGGAGTCTGGATTTCCATTTTGTTTTCATTAGACTTTTTTTATGCTGTACAGAGTAGAATTCCACTCAAGCTCACTTAAGCAAAGTAGGCAGGGCTGAAAATTGCCATAAATCTGCAGGCTAAACTTGCAGCTGGGCACAGAAAGCCACCACGACTTAGGCAGTACTTTCAGGACTGTAGGAACCGATCACAATCCTCTTTTCACTACCTGGCTTTCCTTCTGTCTCCTCTGGTAACAGCTGGGACCCCTGCAATCCTGCCTGTACAGGATGTCCACCCTGACTCCTAAACCAACAAGCAATTCCCTTTGTCTTCAAGGTTAATCCCCAGGAGAGAGTCCAGAAACACAGGTAGGGAGTGGTTGGGCTGTCTCTTATTTCCAAGAAAGAGTAGTCTTAGTTTCAAATGGTTACTCCAATTTCCAGAGGCAAAGTTAGCCCAAGAGAAGCGACTTGTCTGAATAGTAAATTCAGATGCAGGCAAGGGCAACATTAAACCACAATTCTGTAGACCCTTTGGTCTCTGAAAAAAAAAAAGGGGGGTCTGTCCATTCCAGATGCCAGCCAGAAAGAGACAAGTCCAGGTGCTGTAGAACATGTTCCCACAATGACCAGTAGCAGGGCTAGGCAGCACTATTTATAAACTCTGGGGAAGGAAGGCAGTGTCACTCACACTGCCATATAGTTAGGAGTGGGATAGCACGAAGGATTGAAGGAGGGAAGCTCTGAGTAACAGTGAACTCTAAGATAGTCACCTGCCCAGAGCCGTCAGCCTCTCTCCTGTATGCCAAGGTGTTCACTTGGTCCTGTTACTCACTGCTCCCGCTCTCTTCTGATGGCAGGAGCACATGTGGTTCGCAGAGGGCAAGCCAGGGTGCCACAGGGTCAATGCCCGTGACAACAGCCTTCAATGACTGATGGGGAGTTGGTGGACAAACATGGCCATCTCCTCGCCCCTTGACAGGGCAACTGAGGTCAGCTCTACACAGCCTCTCAGGGGGCTCTGGTAGAATGGGGTCAATGTCCCACAGCGGTAACCAGCTTGAAAATGCCCCTTTATTGGCTGCCTTTCTCTGCCCCTCTTCTCCACTCCCTACCAGTGTTCCTGACTCAAACTATAAATATACTATCTACACTCAAATTCTCAGGCTTGGCTCCCAGGGTAAGAAACCAAGACAGAAGAGAAGTCCAGCGCAGCAGACTTCTAAGACACAGTGTTCCATGCACCTGTTTTCAGTAAGGCCAGTATTTCATCTCCATTGCCCAAAGCCTGCTATCCTTTGCTCAACTTGTCCTGAATTCATCAGGGAAAGAAGTGTGTTATACACTGCCCGCTCCCCAAGCTTCAAGCAAACTCGATGAAGATTTGGTGAGTGCTAGAATGGAAGAACAAAGGCTCCTCCACGCACAGGCAGCAGTAGACAGGGAATGGCTGCCTAGCACTGCTAACAAGGAGCGGTTCGGGTAACCCCAGTGAAAAGACTGCACATCTCGTCCCCTCCCCGGCCCTTCTGAGGTTCACTTGAAGCTGGAGGACAGAAGACCAGGGTTTCTGCTCAGGTGCTAACAGCAGAAACCAAAGCCCAGTGCACAGTCTTTATTTATTGGGAGTCCTAAAGTCCAGGGAAGCCAGGCCCACGGTGCGGGCCCTCAGGGCTCTGCAGAGGGTAGGGGGATCAAGAGGCCAGTCACTCGTGTCCAGTCTTCCTGAAGTCAACGGAGTCCTCAGGAGGCAGGAAGTGGCTGAGTCTGTGGAGAAAACACATCAACACCTTCAGGCACCTCTCCTGTGCCTGCCCTGCGCCACTGCGGGGCGATCCTGCAGACACAGCAGAGGATGCCCCAGAGGCAAAGGATGCCAGGCAATGACCTTGCCATCTGCCATGAAAACAAGCCCGGTATGGTACACTGTCATGGAGAAGGTACCGTCTATGGAGGCACCGGCCCAGCACTGTTACTGGTATTGGAAATTCAGCAGGCAAAAATCTGGGATTCAAGAGGGGAGTCCAGGAGCTGGGGATTTAGCTCAGCAGCACAGTGCCTGCCTGGGAAGCGCGAGGTCATGAGTTCGATTCCTGGTACTGGGGGAAAAAAAAAAGAGGGGCTTCCATTTGAGCAGGGAGGGATACAAGAAATGAACAAAGATATGTCAATGGTGAGAAATGCCCTGTAGTGTTTATACTAAGGTGGAGAGCAGGAACATGCAGCTCTTTAAACTGTCAGCTACGCAGACATGAGACGCTCCAAAAGCCCTTCTGTCCCGGTGCCTGAGACGAGCGTGTCTGTCTGCTGCTGTGCCAATGAGAACAAAGGAGGCTGGAGTTTAGTGCCCGGGGAAGGGGAGACGTTGTAACTGCGATGCCCTTACCAGGAAGGAGGAGGTCAGTGAGAGGAACTCTGAGTGAGCCAGAGATCTATGAGGTTTTCAAAGGGAGACATGTGGCCTAATTTCCATTTTTAGAAGTTTGTTTGGCTGCCAAGGAAAAGAAACTATGGGGGTAGGGTGGCCATAGGGAGACCACAGAGAAGCTGGCTGCTTGTCCAGAAAATGAGGGAACAATGGGCCTTAAAATGGGAGAGAGGAGCCTTTTCTGTTCAGATGCCCAAAACACTAAGAAGAAATGTTCCTGCTGGGTATGGTGGTGCACGCCTCTAATTCCAGCTACTGGGGAGGCTGAGGCAGGAGAATTGCTAGTTCCAGGCAAGCCTGGACAACTTAGAGGACCCTGCCTCAAAATAAAGTTATTTTTTAAAAAAAGGTTGGAGATGTAGGTAAGTGGTAGAATGAGGCCCTCGGTTCAATCCCCATTACATTAAAAAAAAGAAAGTCTGGGCACGGTGGAACAGCCCTGTAATCTCCACCCTCAGGAAGCTGAAGCAGGAGGATCACTACAAGTTTGAGGTCATCCTGGCTTACACAGTGAGTCAAGGCCAGCCGGAACTACATAGTGACACCCTGTCTGGGGTGGGGGGAGAAAGGAAAGCTGGGTGTGATGGTGCATGCTTATAATCCCAGCACTCAGGAGGCTGAGATACGAGGATTACCAAGAGTTTGAAGCCAGTCTGAGCTACAGAGTGAGTTCAAGGCTAGCCTGAACTACACAGCAAGATCCTGTGTGGGGACAAAAAAAAGTGGGAAAGAAAGGAAGAAAGAGAAAGAAAGCAAAAAGGAAGAAATGTTCCTAACAGATGGCCAGGAAGCCAGTGTGGATAGCATGTGATCATTACTGAATGTTTTCTGAGAATTAAAAATCTGGCTGGCCAGTCTGAACCTGTCATTTACCTCCATCTAAAAAAGAAGCAGTGATGACTGGACCTGATTAGAAAGGCAGCTCCTCAACCTTCCACCAACAGCTCCCCTAAAGCAGGAGATACTAGCGCAGCAGTAGGATGTGGGTCATGATCAGAGCTCATTGACCTTGGGAGCCTGGCAGTAGGGTACTAGCAGAAGTTTTCTGAGAGAAGCACCATGTAAGCTGAAGTAAAAATCAGCCAGATGGACAACCCATGCAGGAAGAGCAGCCCATGCAGACAGAAAGAGCCCGACAGAAGCAGGACAGAAATGCATAACTGCACATTCACTGGGGCAGGAATGTGGAGCCTGAGGGAGAACTCAAGGAGAGGTGGGGCCACAGGTCACTGGGGCTCCAGGTCGTGCTGAAGTTGAGAGCTGGCCTGGTGGAAGTGAGAGCCTCGGAAAGGTCGCTAAGTAGAAGCAGAGCATGGTCAGACTTCTTTTCAAATCATTCTGGGACTGTCACAGGGAAAGGCCTGAAAATAAGACAGAGCATGGAGACCTGGGAGAAGGCTGGTCTGGTGGTTCAAGAGAAGACAGGATTGCAGGGACAGAGAAGGGCCACAGGGGAGGATGCTCAGAGAGGGCTGATGAAAGATATCTTTTTCTTTGTTGTTCACAGTCCAAAGGAAGAGGCACTAAACATCTAAAGGAGTGTTTCTCTTCACTATCTCCGATAAACTGTATATGTTAAAAAGGGTATTTTTTTTTTTTTTTTTTGCCAACTCCATCCCACTCCCTCTGTCAGTCCAGCTGAAAAGCAGTGCAAGGGAGAGAGTGCATAAGGAGGGAGGTAGATGAAGTCAGCTTTGGGGAAAAAAAAGAAGGAAATTCAGCAAAGACCTAGGATTTTATTCTTAATGTGAACGGGAAGCCACTAAAGCATTGTAAGGAAATGTGTAATGTGATTAGATTGCAGGCCACTGCATGGAGGCAAGAAGAGATTCAGGGAAAGGAGGGAGAACGCGGGGGCAGGTATCCTGGCAAAGGAAGGATCAGGGAAAGTGGCTGGACTAAAGCAGGGGATGCAGGAGGGTGGCAACAGGTGACCACGTTCTGGATTCTGGATGCATACAGAAGGTAGGCAGGGAAGGCGGGGCTGAAAGCTTGAAAGTCTTTACCTTGAGCAACCAGAAAGGAGGTTGTAAGGGGGAAAGAAATGGTGCTCCGATGAGCCTCCTTTACCTCTACAGGTGTGGGTGAGTGTGGCGGCTGCACCTGCTCAGCACACTGCAGGAAACGGCGCACGTGTTCAGCACAGTTTCCCACTGCTGCCTCATTCTGCCGAAGACACTCCTCAAACGCCTCAAAAGGCTCAGCACAGGCCTGGCGGATCTGGCGGATGATTGGGCTGTAGGGAGAGGGCATTTCAGACCCAGGAACACTGCTACTCCATTGTCCACTTCCCATCTCACGTCCCAACCAATCTATACTTGCCCACACTCACTGGGCGGACGTGCACCGGGCAATGCTCATCTTAAGGTAGTGACAGTCCCGCTGCCATGACTCGGGTTTTGCTGCCACACACTGGCCATACTGATCCAGCTCCCGGCCACAGTAGCGAGCAGTGATTTCCAGGGCCGCCTGCCTGTGGGACAAAGTAGGCTGAGAATAATTTCGGACAGCAGGCAAGAAAGGAAGGTCTGATCTAGGTCTAGATAGGATTAAGAGTGGGGGACGGATTTGGGGATGGGAAAGGGAAGGGCAGAGGTGAGACCTGAGCCCTGGGAACTGTGGAATAGGGTGAGAGCTTCTGGAGAGACAATGTATGTCCTATACCAAGGTCTGAATACTTTAAGGCAGGCCTTAATTATGTTGGAGTTCACAGAATGCACAAAAAAGACTTAGGGCCTTAGAAGTAAGATCTATAGCTCTAGGGAGAGAGACTGGGAGATTTAAATGAGTTTGAGGGTCCTACAAATGAGGTTTAGAGGTCCAAGAGGTGGGGACTTGGGTTCTGGTAAAGAATCTCTTGACCATAAAGTTTTAGAGATGGGGCCTGAGGATGGGTCCTAGAGATGACACGTAAGACCTTGTGGTCTGAGAATCCTGGGGTGGGACTAGCGGCATGCTCTGGAAGCCCTGGGGAAGGCTGGGCCCCTCGGGGCAGAACTTGGGCGATAGCCAAGACAAGGAACAGGGCGGTTCCAAGGCTCAGGGGCAGGGGCTGGGCACGCGCAGATGGGGATGTGTCAATCTTGAGGGTCGCGTCTCCACGGAATAGAGAAGACAGTTCTTCCTTCTGGGGTCCTGAGCTAAGTGCAGATCACGGGTAAGAGGAGTCAGCTGCAGCAAGTTCAGGACAGGTATTCCTGCTACTCACATCTCCGTACCGCTGTGGATCGAACAAGGAGAGACCCGCCTTTTCCGGTACCGGTTGTCAAGGCGGGGCCTAGCCAGCCCTCACTGACTCGCTCTTCCGGTCTCAGAGCGACAATCAGCCCGCGACGTTCAGGCTCAATCCATCATGGCGGCGCCCTGGGAAACTACTTCCGGCCCGCTACTACGTAGCGGCAGATATTTCTACTTCCGGCTTGCCGTGGCGTCACCCAGGGTTCCCCGGAAGTAATCAGAGGGACTGGAGCGTCTGCATCCCAAAGCGACTGGAGGTTATTTGTGGTTAAACCACTGGCAAACGCGTCTCAGCTATCGTGGGTGGAGTTAGTCGTGAGGCTTCCACTTCTGTGGCGCCGCAACATGCTACCTTTTACAGCTGTATTGGGTTTGGTGGCTGCCAGAGTCTGGACTCAGGGATGGGCGTCTAACCCCTAACGCTGCGCTGCCCCGTGGCCCTTGTGCAGGTGTTCACTGTCGTCGCGTGACATTACTCGTGCGCGTGATACGACCTGGCGGAGAGGTGCCCCAAGAGCCCCCCCTCCCCCCAGCCCGATCTGGGCCCATATCTGCTCGGCCTAGGTTACACTGCCCCCCCAACACGCCCCCTGCTTTTTTGGCATGGACACCAAAGCTAAGACAGATGTGGGTTTCAGTCCTGCTTTCGTGAGACCATGGGCGAGTTACTTCCTCTCTGTAATTCTGCCTTGTATGTCAACATTTTCATCTTCTAATCTGCCTTCAAAGTATGCATTTCCCCATTTATGAGATTAGCTATCCCTTGGTCAGAAAGCTGAGTGTCTTGCCATCTGGTATGTAGAGATCTAAGACTCCAGCCAAAATGAGCAGAAAATACCGTCGGTCATTGTGTTTAAAGATGAACGAGAGCTATTTGTGAGCAACTGACAAGCCACTTAGATTTTCTGTGTGCTCATTTATAAAACGGGAATAAAAACCTTGACTTCTTCCACATAGGACATAGTGCAAGGGAACAGTTTTGCACAGAGCCTCGACCCACAGGAGTTCTGAATAAGTGAGAGCTGTTGCAGGAGGCTGTAATCATGAGCTGTCCTGCTTGCCAACTGACATTTGATGCTCTACTGGCCACCTGTAGCTGCTTTAGATGACAAAGTGCTGCTTCATGGTTAAGTAAAGATTTCTTGTGGCTCAAGAATGCAGTGACTTCTCTAGAGAGACCTAAGATCCACGGGGCTTGGAGTGAAACAGATCTAAGTTTGAATCAGAGAACAGAATAAATTGAACAGAATGCTTCTGTACTCTGTGTTTTCTAACATCTGTTTCAGGGTGTCCTGGAAAGAAAAAACTGAGATGATACAGTGCTGATCTCTAGGTCCTCCAGAGCTGTGGGCCACGGGTGAAAGTGAGACTTTCAGAAACTGGGCATTGCTGTCACTTCTCTTTTTTCTTTAAGAAGCTATATTTGATGATGCATCTCATGGGAAGGAAAAAATGAAGGGTATGTTCAGAACAGATTTCATGAGTCAGTATTTGGTAGTATGTTTGTTGTCTAATCAAATATAAATAGAGACTCTGTCTTACTTCAAGTTTTGAAAGGTTGTGATATATTCTAACAGTAATGAAAATTTTGTGATTCCACTTCCAGCATGGATGTCATCTGTCTCTGCATCTCCGTCTCAGCCATCTCCTTTCTCTTCCCATCCGGTCAGTTCTGACCTGACCATCTTTGAATTTCATCACACTTATTGCAATTGAAATTCATGTGAGAAAAGGATAGACCCTGAGACTTCTAGCTTTCCCCTTCAACCTGTTTTTTCAGGATTTCTGTAGAGCCAGACTGCGTTGGAGAAGAAAGATGCTGATGATGGTGCAGGGGGATGTGAAGCCAACCTAAAACAGGGCTCTGAGCAGATTTTCTTTGTCCTCAAAGTGAATGAACGTGTGGATAGCAGAGACCTGAGGTTATTTTGTCCTCTGGTAACCAAAAAGCTCTCTACACATGTACTGAGATAAATTTTAAGTTCCAGCAAGTATTGTCAAACATGTCGTTTTTATGAGCTTACTACACAAAATAATTCTCAACACTATAATTAGTGCATATATTTTATTATGTTTGTGAGGACATTTCTTAATGTATACTATTCCATTATTCATTCAATTGGATCCTTCTTCTATTTAAAAAAAAAAAAAGCAAGCCGGCCGTGGTGGCACACACCTGTAATCCCAGCACTCGGGAGGCTGAGGCAGGATTGTTGTGAGTTCGAGACCAGCCTGGGCTACAAAGTGAACTCAAGGCCAGCCTGAACTGCATAGCAAGACCCTGTCTCAAAAAGACAAAAAAACAAAAACACACAAAACATTGAAAGACCAACTTCCTTCTTTCTCTGGCCATGATGGAGTAAAGGGATGACATCTACTCTCCCAGTATTTCAGTTGAAATCTGGACAAAACATGAGGCAAGTTTAGATGTTGAAAAACAGCATCAGATCGCAGCATGCCTGTGATCCCACTCCTGGAGGGCAGGGACAGAGCTGCCAGGAAGGCCCGGCTGGGGCCAGGGCCATCACTGGAGTTGCCCAGTGCCCATGTTCCCACCAGCCATAGTGGAGAGCTCCACTGGGCAAAGTATTCAGAGAATGCCTCTGCACGGGGGGAAAAATTAGTCCTAAAGGCTGCTTTGGTCTAAGAGCTTAAAAACTTAATGTCATCTTCCTTCAAGCTGTTCATGTTGAAGGAAGACAATACTAGAGGGAAATCTGGTACATAAAGATTTCTAGATAGGGCAACTATAGTGTTAAAGCTGTTATTCTATAAATCTCTTTGAAAGGTAAAGTGCTTAAAATAGTAATATATTGTGAGGTTTATTATAGATGTAGAAAGATATGGCAAAAAGGCCAAAAGGTATTATTAAAAAGCTCTTATGCTGTAGGTGTGTGAAGTGACATTATATGAAAGTGTAAAGTCTAAAGGTATATTAGAAATTATTTTATTTTATTTTTTGTCTTTTTGAGACAAGGTCTCGATATGCAGTTCAGGCTGGCCTTGAACTCTCAGTAGCCCAGGCTGGTCTCAAACTCACACCGATCCTCCTGCCTCAGCCTCCTAAGTACTGGGATTACAGGTGTGTGCCACAACACCTGGCTTATATTAGAAATTTTAAAGGAAACTAAAGGTGAAAATGTAGAGTCAGTATGGTTAATAAAGGAGATAAAGTAACAAAATAAACTAGCCTTGTACAAGTACGACTGACTTTTTGTGTGTGTGTGTGTGTGTGTGTGTGGGTACCGGGGATCGAACTCAGGACCTTGAGCTTGCCAGGCAGGCACTGTGCCACTGAACTATATCCCTGGCCTGAATAACTGGCTTTTGATGAAGAGTGAAAACTTAACTCAGTGGAGCAAGGATAGTCTTCAAATAATAGTACTGGAGTTACTGGGTATCTACAGGTAAAAAAGAAAAAAAAAATCAATGTAACAGTGAACATTATACAAAAATAATCTCTAAATTGACTTGATTTAAAGCCTCAGACTAAAAAATCTCTTTAGAGGATAACATGAGAAAGTCTTTAGGCTTGAAGGGCCTTAGGACACTAAAACAAAACAAAATAAAAATGATAAATTGGGCCTCATCAAAATCTTTTACTTTCCAGGAGGTCTATGAAAGGATGAAAAGATGAGACAGTATTTGCAAAACACTCATCTAGAATACCTAAAGAAGTCTTAAAATTCAGCAGTAAAAGTGAAACAGTACAATTAAGTAGAAAGCAAAAAATGAAGACATTTCACTGAGGCTGCATAGATGGTACAAACATGAAGAAAGTTCAGCATTTTTAGCTATGAAAAATGCAATAAAACCACAATGAAATTAGGTGCAGTGATGCACATCTGTAGTCCCAGATACTTGGGAGGCTGAAGCAGGACAATTAGAAGTTCTATGCCACCCTAGGCAACTTAGTGAGACACCATCTCAAAATTAAAAACAGATGGGGATGTAGTTCAGTAGTAGAGCACTTCACATGTATTGGGGCCCTGGTCTATCCCAGTGCCATCAATTAATCAGTCCCAAAATATCACTACACGCCAATCAAGAGCTGAAATAAAAAGATACGTAGTACCACTCGAAGGGTGAGGAGTGCATGAACTGAAGTAATTTGAGGAAATGGCTGCTGAAACTTGCAGAATGGGTTGGAGGACAATGGTAAGGGAGAAATGCACTTTAAAATGATTCCCAACCTGTGACCTTTGATTTGATTCTAAACCTAAACAGGATACGAATGGGGCAGTGGGTGAAATCTGAGTAAGGTTTATAGATCAGATACTTGGGTGGGTAGTGTCAACTTCTGCATATTAACTGCACTGTGGTTCCATATGTTATTACACTTGGCAAACTGGGAAAAGGTATATTGAAAATTCTTTACAATATTTTTGCAATTCTTTCTGTAAAGGTGAAGTTTCAACATGAAAAGTGAAAAATAAACCTACCACCAGAGTAGAGTGCTTAAAAAACAAGTAAAGACCCTGGGTTCAGTCCTCAGCACCACAAAAATGGGTGAGACTGACTTGAACAAGAGACCTCAGCTTTGGGATCACAGACAGAGAACGAAGGGGAGGGGGAAAGTCTACATTTCAGGTTCTGTTAGTGGGGATGTATCAACCAATAGATTCAAGATGTTTTTCCTCATTTTTTCAGTGTCACGAAGCAAAGTCAGAATATCCTGAATGGATAGATTTTTCTGTCTTGTCCTATCTCCCCTATAATTAGTGCCAGGCCACCTAAAGCCAGACTCCATAATTATCTTAGGAAAGCTTTTATAATCAAGGCATCTTCTACTTCCACAAATATATACAAGCTTATCTACTGCCAACACTGTTTCTAGTAACGAAAGTATGGCATGGCTCAAATACCCATCAACAAAGGACAGTACAGCCATTCAATGAAATGTAACAAACCCTCCGCAAAATGGTATGAAGGCAACTTAATATACATAATAGAAAAGCAAGTATGGAACGGACTAAAAGTCACCTATTGGAGTTCAGAGGCTTAGTATGAAAAAATATAAATTACTTCAAAATTTTAGTATTATTCACATGTTAAAATAATATTTTGGCTATGTTACATTAAATATTTCTAAGAGATGGAAAAAATCTTAATGGTCATTGACAGATGAGTATAAACAAAATGGCATATAT